AAATTCCTAAAGACTATCTCTTGAGGACCACAAATTCCTGCTTCCCACATTTACAAATTATTCCCCATCCTTCTGACTGCTTCCTCTCCTGACAGCCCCTTAGCAGTGTGATTATATTTTTCTCTTAAATCTCTGCTCCTCACTGTGACAGAGCCAGGATGTTGACGTAGACTGGGCCCCCCCAAAGTATATAGCAGGCCACCTCTTCAGCAAACAGGAAAACAGCTACAAGCTAGGAAACCAGTAAGGGCCCTCTTCCTTTCCCCTCATGACTACCCTGCCCCCAGAACAAAGAGTACACCAGAAAGAGTAGGATATAGGTGTCAGTGGAACTATGAGTGGGCGATATATATATATATATCGATATATACTCGATGTATCGCAAGTTTTTCCCACATACGATGGTTAAAATGGCTTTATCGTAACCATTGAGTATAAATTGCCACCGTAATATTCCCCAAACCGGAATATTATTAGTGTGAATGCTTGAAAAGCATTCACAGTATTGTTCTTCTAATCTTTATTCTTATATTTTATTATCTATTCCGTACGTTTTTTGAAAGCCTACTCCTTCAAAACCATTCAACTTAGAAAAACCATTCAAACACCATTAGATTCCTATTCTTTTGGACATGATTGCTTGTATTTTTCTCATTTTTAACATTTATATTTTTAATTTTATTCAACTTTATTCAACAAAAATTTCCCATGTATTTCAATGGGGAGACCCTTCAAATTCTCATTCAACTTACTCATTTTTAAACTCTTACTACTTCAACATACGTTCACATAGAGCCACCATTCAAACTTTAAAACGAAGACAAGACATTCAACTATTCAACTTGTATTTATCTTTTCAATATCTATTATACTTTTTCTTCAGTTCCAGTTTAAGTTTCATGATGTTTTTTCACCCGTTTCAGAGTTTATAATGGGTGTGTATGGGACGGAATGTTGGGGCTAGAGTGAGGCAGCTCAACTGCTAGAGTGAGAGGAGCAAAAAAATAATCTTAAAATCTTTTTTAAAACTGCTGCTGTGTCCGCAGCGTTTGCTCTACAGGTATGATTTTACCCTCAAAACGTAGCCATGGCTGTCCTCTTTCATCCAATGTGTTTACTATTGTACTAGGTGTTATGGTTCTTTCATAAATGTCACCAATGCACAGCCTCCTCCCTCCAACTCTTCCATAGACTCTAATGTTAAAATGGCTCAGAAGGTTCGTTTGAAAATCAGAAGAGCATGGTGTCTTTCCACTGTCACCACGTCCATATAATAAACTCCACAGACATGAAAACTGAGAATTTGGTAGACTAGACATTGCTGTCGCTCACAGTGAAAGAATTTTGTCAATACGACTTTTACTTTTCATTTGGGAACGATTTGTTTCGGCCTGACTTTTCTGTTCATTTTAAGCAGCAAAAGTGAGGTGCATGTCTGTGTCCGTGTGCATGGAGCCATTGGGTGCGGTCACTATAGCAACCAGGCTCACACCTGCCTGCTTAACGAGCTCTCTCTGCCACTCTGCCAAGATTCATCTTAAACACTTCTCTTTCAACTGCTGCTGTGTCCACAGTGTTAAAGCCATCATTTTACCCTCAAAACGTCGCCATCGTTGTTCTTTTTCCAACATCTTGTCTTTCAAAGCTCAGAGATGTAAACTTTTTAAACTGTGTGGGTCCAAGTGGAGGGATCACATTTTAGTCATTCAGTGATTCAAAGAATATGACCTTTTAATATTCTTTCAGATGTTTTCTGACTCTAAATGTTCTTTTCTCATTTCTTAGGTTTTTCTAATTTACAATTAAAACATTTTCAGCTTTTTTCCAACTTCTTCTTCTGTGTAACCTTCAGCTTTTAGCAGTTCAGCACTTTTGTTTTCAGGTTAAATTCGGGTTTTTTTTTTTATCTCATTCAAAATTTTTAACTTAAATTCAGTAATTAATTCATTTCAGTGCATACATTCAGATTCAAGCATTCACACTGCAGTTTCTTCAGAAAATGCACTTTCTAGTTTTTTATCATCTTCTGGCATACAAGCATGCTTGTTTATATACTACCAGATAGGGAAAAAAAAACAAAACATGATGACAGCGGGAGTTTCAGACGAACGACGGAATGAGACTCACTTTCGTTTGGATTTCACAAGGAGGATGTTGAACAAAATGCGGTAATATGCAAAACATGTTGTAAAACTACCATGAATTAGGGCTGTGCGATATGACCAAAATCTCATATCCCGATATAAGACATCTATCGCCCCGATAAAAAATTCTGTGAATCTCAGGCAGCTCGACTTGCGTGAAGTGTTTCCAGCTGGGCGTCGTGTACATGGAGTCGAATGTTTTAACCGATGCATGAAACTATACATTTTTAGACATAAGTTGTAACGCCCGCCGTTTTCTTTGTGAGTATTTATTACACGGCGTGCTGCGGGGAAAAGCCTGTTCTTTTTTTTTCTTTTTTTTTTTTCCTAACGTTTGAGTCTAAGGTTTATTTTTTAGCACCTGACGGCTCTTTTTGCTTCTCATCCGTAAATACTCTGCATACTCTTTCACGTGATTTAGTTTATTTTGAAAGGTCTCAACAGGATCTTGAGCTTTATTCTGAAAGGTTTATGTGGAAAATAAACAAGCGGACACGCGATGGTTTTATCGTCGTTGTTGCTAACGACAACGCATAAAAACAGGCTCTTGTCCGTCCATAGTGTGGTTATATTAAATATAAGAGAAAGAGAGAACTTTAAGAAATTAATATAGCCACTAAAACGGTGAAAAAAATATTGCCGTAAATTTTATTTTGCGACACCACGAAACGAAACGACAGACGTTTTCATATCGTCATCCAATATATATCGTTATATCGAACAGCCCTACCATGAATTTATTCCACCAGCTGAAAAGTCATCCACTGCAAAATTAAGACTGTTTTAAACTCGGCATGTCAACGTCCCCTCACACACCAAAGAAAATGTTAAATAAACCAGCTGTGATACCCGTGACTGTTCTTAGTCAGTCATTTTTTTAGTCACCGTCTAGACTTGTGTTTCTGTCATTTGAGTTTATTGCATTTTTTATATGTTATGATATTTCGATTCATTCTAAATTTTTCTATTTAAAGTAGAAAAAAAGTTTAATGAATGATTTGAATACCAGTGCAATTTTGGGAACTATATAGTGAATAATAACATTTGTTTTTGGAGGTTATTTGAACATACCGTGATATATATCATGTATTGTGATATGACCAGAAAATATTGTGATATTAGATGTTCCTCATATCGCCCAATTAGAGCTGAGTATAAGGATACTTAACCCGATTCATGATCAGTTAATCACCATCTATTTAAAAATAGCTATATTAACTGATCAATGATTCTTCAATTACCATAAACCTCACTTGCAGCCTTGGTGCATTTTCTTAAAAACATTGTGTCAACTTTATCGCTAAAAGTAACTTAATGGGGCGTCCACATGGGTGACTGTAAAAGCCTTACTGTGAACAAAAACATTTGTTTCCGTTTTAAAATAAACTTTGAAAATCTGCAGAGTCCTGTGACTGAAAATGTACTCTCTTCCAAGTCAGCCAATGCTGTCACTGACCCCTGCAAATATTTTTAAGCTTGCGTATGAATACTGACATTCAGATTTAGGAGACTGTTCCAAAAGGTTTTTATGTCATACACTAGTCCCAGAGGAGGTCATGTCTGGTGGACCCTGCTTTTGTTTCCTCTGTTTATTATGTCAGCGCTTCCCTGCGACAAGCTGCACTTTCTCTGTCAGATATTGTCTTTGACACAAACGTCACTCTCAGCAAAGTTGGCATGCTGTCCCAGAAGCCGTTTTTGGGATTTTGCCCTGGTGACTCAGGGGACGAGAGGGTTAAGTGAAGGATGACATCAGTGCCTGGCTGTCCTTCTTTTGTATCTTCCTAACTCATCCAAGGACACACACAAACACCCACTGCCTAAAGAGGCAGACAAGAGATGTGTTTCACTTGTGGGGCGGCCTGGAACTCGTTGCCATTTCCTTGGAAAGTTTCTGATGCAATCTTCAGCAACTGGATTTTGATTTTTGTCCAAGCAAGACACAGAATGCAAATTTAGTCGAATTAGGCAACTAAAAATACAAATTACACAGTATACCTGCCATAAATCCCTTACTGTGCAGGGAAGACCACAGGGTTGGGCACTGATTGGATGCCAAAATGCTGGCTAAATAAATACACTGATAAAAATGATTAAAAACGCCACGGAAAGACAGAAGTGAAACTGAAAGTCAACTTTTCTCTGACAGTTACTACATGAATAGTTTGTCAACACTTAGAATAAGGGTGACGGCTGTCTCATGACTTTGTCCAGTGTTGAGTAAACCTGCATCATTGGTGGGTAGACTACCTAAAAGTGGCATAACTCGGCATCGTTTAATATCCCCAGACTACTTCCTGCTCTTGCCAAGTCTGTTCATGATGGAAAAGCAGCAACAGTGAGAAGCAGACAGCCATGAAGGGACTGCATCAAATTGGTTTTGTTTTGGCGTTGTTCACATCCTAGGAGTCTGGCATTCTCTCCACCCTTTAAGCAACAATGGCAGCAGTGTTGCAGTTGTGAGGCCTGTGGGCCAGGCAGTTCACTTCACACTCTGGCTGTTGTTTACTTGAAAGAGGCGTATGAGGAGTGGGAGCAGCCGTGGGGATGAAACTGCCACTTTCCAGATTGTTCAAAATGAGGATTTCGGTAGCAGAGCATGCCGACTGTTATGACAACTCACAAGCAGCTCTAAAGAGTCGGTTTACATGAGCAGAACTAGCAGGGAAGAAAAACAAGCCACTTTCACGTGGCTGATTCATATCATACTTCCTGAACCAGCCATATTATGTCCATCAAACAATCAGATTTAAGTGGCAAAAAAATAAGCAGATTTTCTGGCTTCTTCCCCTAACGCTGCATTACTGTAATAATCTGTAGACAAAAGCAGCTTGAAGTTTACTGTCAGTTCCTTACCGGCTTAGGCATCTTTGCTTCCTCTCCTCATTAAACTCAACAGCTGAGAGGAAAAACCCGTCACTGGACGGCAGAAAGACCTTTACCACAGGACCTGAAAAAAAAGGAAGAAAACATTTTGTAACATAAGTCCCCAGTGTTCATGGGTGAAACCAGAGACATTATTATAAAGAGCTATTGATTCCAGTCACAGAAGACCAAATCTAGAACAAGGAAGCATGTAGACCTATTTGCACTGACGCATGACGTTATCATCCCAGTCTAGCTGTAGGAATTTGCGCTTATTGATTTTTTCGATTAACCATATACATAAAGTAAAGTACGTAAGTAGCCTGGGTTTTGCCCAGTGATCTCACAGGATGAGCCAGAGACCTATGCAGCACTAGAGGGTTAAACTAGAAACACAAGTCTGAAATAGTATGGTAATGACCCATGATGAACTTAAATAGGATAGTGAAAACATCCAACTCAAGAGTTTCTCTGGTGTGAATCACACGTAGGAGTTTCAGTGTGGTTTAATGGTATGAAGCTAAACTTCGTGAAGTTTAATAATACACCCCAGCCTGACTGAATGGAGAACTGTGCATCACGACTGACATAAGCTTGCTAAACGCCATTTAATACAAACGGAGAGCAGCCAGGTGTCTGGCATGGGTTTAAAAATACTTTTAGCAGCCATTACATTTTAGTCTCAGCTATTTTGTAGTGCCAGTTCAGGATACAAATCGACTAGCACCACTACTCTTCTCAGTTTTGGAAATTAAAGAAATTATTAGGAACAATGATAGTTTCCATATACAACTGTAATCTGCTTTACAGAATGTGCAATGTAAAAATAAGAATTTGTAAAACCCACTGAACGTCGGAGCTGTAGCGTTTGTAGTCCTCATAAAGTGAAACCCACTTATAGCTTGTGAGCAATTAGCTTTACCCGCCGAGAGTTGTTGGCTTCCGTTACGTTGAACTATAACCAAAATTTAACGCCTAAAATATTGGCTACACAAGCGTTGCACAACGGAAAAAATAAGTCAGAGGCGTCAAATCCCAATTTTAAAAATGTATCTTAAATGAACACTAACGTTAGTCACTAGATCCCCCCCCCCAAAATGGTCTTCATGAAGCCCAAAGTTTGCGCGTCGAAAGGCTGACATTATCAAGCTAGTGGGTGTAGTCCGTATAACGGGACGAGCCTAGCCGACGGTTGCCTCGCTCGCGCTCGTGAAGTTTTAACGCCTTAAAAAATGTTAGCCCTCATTTATTCGCCACACTTGCCACTAAAACGAATAAATATAAAAATAAATATCTTAACAAATTCCGACTTAAGACTACGTAAAGCAGAGTGGGGTGCGTTTACACACAGTTTAAGGGGCACAACTTGACAGAAGTCGGCCCTTCTGTGACACATGAATCGGTCGAACACGAGGAAATCCGCTGCATCAAAGTTGAAGAGAAGCTCCTCTCTTTTTGGGGAGAGGCAACTCACCGGGGGACGATGTCTGTCTTTAATTTGATAGAAGAGCCTCGTATCTTCAACTGTAGCAAAATATTCACGATGAAAAATGCCTTTTTACTCCGGGTGCTTGTCTCTCAGTGCGTCTGCCGTTATAAATTCCCGCAGACATGGAAAAACCCTTCAAGTCTAAACCATAAGGCGATTTGGGGGGGGAGTCGCTGTAGAGCCAGCCAGAATAAAGTAACACAACTTCCGGTCTTAACTATAAAAATAAAACTACATAGTTAACTGGGCAATATTATCATAAGGCGGTTTACATCTGTTTACAGTTCATGAACATACTCTTAGATTTGATATCTTCTGTACCTTTGCATATAAAACAGCCAACATTTTTCACATTGCAATGATCCTGAATATTTAATACTTGTTTTAAACTTAAGTTTGATTGTTTTCTTTATTATTTTTACTCTATTGTTCGATTAGGTTTTTTTTTTAAAGCATGAGTCTGTACATTTTTTTTCTAGACATAATGTGCTTTCCCTTTTTTGTTTCTGTAGTTTCCTGTCATATAGCTAAAGTTAGCTGACAAAAACAAGGGGAAAACCACAACAAAATTAATGAGGAAAACATGACTAAACACAGAAGCAGTAATTAATAGTTAATAGCGGGACTAAATCAACCCCCCACAGTCATTTTCCCTAATGTATCCATACAAGTGTTTCCAGAAAATTTAAATATGTAAGAGAATTAGGTAGCCTGCGGACCGCTTTCAGCCCTTCAGCTCGAACTTTATTTTGAAGAAAAAACACAAATATCCGCCCATGTCTGCAGTTTTCCTCGCAAACCTGACACAGCTAACTGTAGAGATGTACAATATGGCTGTCAGTGGCCGAGGATCAGATGGAAGAAATGTATGGGGCATGCACCGTGCGATGAGATGCATTAGCGATGATTTATGCCAGTGTAAGCCTGCTCCTGTAGGTTGGTCCGATGGGAATCCAAATGGCACTTACACATAGGCTTTTGTCCTGTTTTATCTAAATGGCCTGCTCGTCTTCTGCAGTTTGAAACCTCCTAGATCAGTGGTAGAGCTCCCCACTCTGGAAGTATGCATCAGTACATTCGTTTCAAAGTTTTGTATGTACTGCAGAGATAGTCCCAAACACACCCAGTCTGCAGTCACTGTCTGAGCTGTTCGCAGAACTGACTCAAACATCAAGGACGTGTCCTTTTTATCTTGACTAAAACAGCTATGAACTGATTTTTAGTCCATACAAGTGGATATGGACGGATATCTAAGACTTCCAAACAATTGTGATGTCAAGCCCAGCTGATAACCTTTATCACTTAAAACTGTTTCCATCTATCTGTCCTGACACCTATCTTTGTAAAAAGATGACCAAAAAAGTATAAAATGCATCTTGATGATTAATTATCACTGAAAAGTTTGGGCTCCGAATTGTTCTTATGTTGCGTAGGAAAATGAAGTTTTTGATTTTAAACAATCACACATTGACGACAAATGCTGTAAGTCACAGCTAAACTGGGATCAATAACCAAATATAATTAATAATTTTTAATAGAATAGCTGCTAAGTAGCTACATAGTAGTGCTACTGCAAATTATGTTAACAATCTGATACCAAGTAAATAGAGGGCCAGTATTGCCGAAACCATTAGTTTTTAATTATAAAGACAGTTTTTATAGAGAGCAATGTGTCCAGGTTTATGAGATGAATCACCATCAATTTGCAAATTCTGAACACATTTTAATGACCACTAAATCATTGTGATTTTTACTTTCCACAATCCACCAACTTATTTCTAGTCTTCCACATCCTGATCAGTCCCAGTGGAAATCTTAACTTCAGCTCAGCCTTCCGTCTTTCTGTCAGTCTCACTGCTTCCAAACCACACAGCATACATCATAGCAGGTCTCACCATCTTCTAAAACCTTCCCTTGCACTCTTGCTATTATCCTTCTGTCACAAATCAACTGACACTCATCTTCACCCATTGCTTCCACTCTCTTCTTTACCTCTCTTGTGCAGTGTCTGTTGCTTTGGACAATACAATATTCAATGTAGACATTATAATCTATGGAATGAACAGTATGTTAAAAATTGTGTATAATTATTTTGTATTTTTTGAGTAGTGAGAAGTTTTAGGCACATGTGTGTTTTAATTTTTATCCCGATCTTTCATATTTTCTCCACAGAACAGAAAAAATACAGTGTGTCAAAAATATACAACATTTGTAGTGTTCTTTGTATTTTTGTATATTCTGAACACTTATTTAAAATATAATTTTTTTTAATGTGACGTGGGTCTTCTGCACTGAATTATTCCGCCACTAGATGCCATTGTGTCCCTGTTGTTGGTGATATACGGGGTAGGACACTTGAGCAAATCCTGCAAAATCAGCTGGTAGAGTAAATGAATGGAAATATTTCATATGCATGTAGTCCCACACCAGGAGGTGCATCCTTCGAGGCCGACTCACAAAGACTAAAAAATAGACACATCTGCTAAAAGTGAGTAATACTTTGGACAACACAATAAAAATCTCAGTTCGCGCAGTCACCTTGGAATTTATTACTGGAATAATGTCAACAAACATAGTCCAGGGGACAGGGGTGTGTAGAGTTTAATCTGCTGCAAGATGAAGAAGGAAAAATGAGAGGAAGAGGAGGTAGCACTGAGACTTGGCTGGGTCCTGTTAATTGGCTTGGAGTGGGCGGAGCTGCTGGTTTGCAAACTTGCAGGTAGGACGTAACTTTCATCACAGGCATGGCCGATATCGTCAGCTTACAGCGTATTTTATTCTACAAGTGTCAGTATTGCTGTATATCGGCGAGTTTCCTTTCCGGACGCTCGGAGGCAGCTCATCTGTCGGTAGGACAAATTCAGTTATTCTGCGAAAGTTTGGCATCCCTTCTTCGAAAAAGTGCGCGGTCCTCAGATTCGATTTCTTGGATCCTCTTAGTCACCACCTTAGACTGACAATTCGGCTCACACTGAGTGACTCATTTATGCACTTGTGTGAGTAAAACATGAATAAAATGTAAGTAGGTAAAACGAAAAATATAAGTAATTGCAAAGTGCTGTGCAAAAGTCTTGAACCACTTCTCAATTGCTTCAGTTTTGTTTCCAATGAGCCAGAATTACTTTTTAAAAAGTGCTCTTGTTCAAGACTTTCTGATGGTCTTTCTAAGTTTTTCTTTGGACATTGGTTACTTTTTCACTCATTTTCAATCCAGTCCTTGTACCTGACCATTGTCAGAGGAATGTTTTTTTTTCTTGTAGTTTGTTTGTTAAGCCATGAATCATTCAAGCATAAAAAAACCCCACCTAACTTAAGGCGTGGACCAGTGTTTTGAGGAAACGGGAGAAGTGGAACACAAAAGAAGCAGAAAGGTATCTGAAAGTCATGTCCTTCAGAAATAGGAAGATATACAGCAAAGAACTGACACAGGACCTGACAGATGCATATGGTCCTTCAACACATCCATCTACTGTTCCCTGAAGCCAAATGTTGTCAGTGGAAGAATGGCTGTCAAAAAAAAGGGCTAAGGTTTGACAAATTACAAAAGAAGTGTCATGCATGCATGGGGGCCCAGCCCTGGAGCAGGGTGCCGCCGGTGCGTCGAGCCACCTGGGGGGCTCTTCAACTGGTGGGGGAGATTGTCACATCTTGCAGGAGCTTTCCTCTCCTCAGGAGCTCCCTCTGCAGGAGGGGGAGATACAGGAGAGGTGGAGGAAGATCTCAGCCTGGGTGTTTATTGTCTTATGTAGTCTGGAAGATGAGTGGATGGTGGGGTGGGTGCAGTTTTCTCTGTGGTGGGGTTGGGTGGACTGTCCCGGGCTCTGTGGGGCCGGGCGGCGCTGCTGCACTGGCCCGGTCTGGATGGGCCTGGGCCCCCTTTCCCTGGCGGGTCGCGGAGTATGGGGGTGCCTACTGGGGTCAGCGGGGGAGCTGGCCCCAGGGAGGGGTCACTTGCCCCTCCCTTCCTTCCCTCCCCATCTCCAGCTGCCTCCCTCTTCCCGCTCCACCACAACCACCCACACATGCAGGGCCTTGGAGTAGGGGTATGTCACCAGGGTGCAGAGGAGGCTACCCCCCCCCCCCCCCCCCTGTCCCCTTCTGGCTGCCTCTGCCTCAATTTTATCCCACAACTTAGACATTCACATTACTCACACTCTCATTACACATACATATAGGATCTTGGGGGTGGGCACGATACACGGAGTCCAAAGTACCATCAGGGTGTACACCCCACCCCTGGCATCGTTGCCCACCTCTCAATTTTAAATACACGTAGACATTGAGGGCTAGCAGGAGGGACCATGCGCTTACCTGCTGCTCTCTGGCAGGTAGCTCCAAGCCCTCCTGGGTTTTAAATGCACCTTAGAACACACATGCATCAACATTACAATGAGCGGGTGGAGGGAGGTTTGGAGTCTTCTCTCACCCCCGTTCTCTGCGACCTGCTGGAGCAGGGGGGCTAGGACTAGGAGGAGGAGTTGGCCGTCCGACTGCGGTCTGGAGTGTGGAGCCTTCCTGCTGCTGCGGAGTCGGGGCGGTCTGCCTCCCCCCACCGCAGGGAAAAGGGAAACACCACCTGGGTCTGGGTGCAGTTCCCCCCTCCAGGGGCGGGGGCACCTAGACCCGGTTTGTAGAGTACGCTTGGGGAGTGTGATCGTGTGTACAACGTCTCTTTATGTCTGTCTCCACGTTGGTTGAGTGTGGAGTAAGTGCATATGAGAGCATGAGGGTGGGAATGGATGTTTGTATCTGTGTGTGCCTGTATGTCTGTGTCTATATGTCAGGTTGGGTGTCAGGCGCCACCTCTCTGGGGACATCTCAGGCCCTCCAAGGTTTGGAGGCCTATCTCCCCCTACCACCACTTCCCCTGCCAGTATTTGGAGAACCCTAAAAATAATTAATTTTGGGACTCCATTCATGTGTGTTCTGATCTGATTTATTTCGCTATTATCTCCTACCTTTTTTTTCTTTGCATTCAGGTGTACAGTTTGTTAAACCCTGGCAAAGTCCAGTCTGCCTGGCTTCCCTCCTTTTGGTCTGAAGACCAATATTAACCATGGCGGGAAAGTGAAATTGAAAGTGTGTTTTCTTGGCAAAACACATGAGCTTAAAACTGCCGATGCCTTTATTTCCACAAGCTCTGGACATCCCCACCCCTCACACCCCACCCCAGGTC